CGTAAGTGGGGACAATTGTAACAAGTGCAAGTGCACGACTGTCAAAAATTGTTAATAACTAATATAATAATATTTTAAATCAGGTATTTATTTTTTTTCTAGTAGAGGATACTTTACTCGTGTGTCAACTAATACTAATAATATATTGGATCTTTTGTTAGTTAAAAATAGTTAAATAAAAAATGTTACAATTGACCCCACTCTCCCCTACTTATTAAGATCTATTAATAAACATAAGAAAGTTTATACATCAATTTAAATAAGTTGTAGTGTAGTAAGGTAATACCATAGAATTACGTTTTAATAAAGGAACAACTCCTTTTAGTTTCAAAATTCTTAATTTCAAATCTTAAATCAATAGCAAAATAAAAGAAAAAAAAATAAATATTGTAAATAAATTTCTTTAAATTGGAGAAAAATATTTTGCAGGAAAACAATTCTTTTTAAGGACTTTTAAACTGATAACCACCAAGCAAATAAAAAAAGTCAATGAAGGGAAACTGTATCCTACCATGTAATTTTCCTGCTAATAAAAATGCACCAATCAAAAACGGGAAACTATGTCAGACTATTTTATTAAATTTATTGATCATATGATAAATTTATCGATCGTTAGTGTGCACTCTTAATCAGGGGGATTAGGAATCAAAAGTTAGTTTCCGATTGGACACAACTACTAGTGTAAATTTATTAATGTGATACGTACAATTTGGATATAATCAATGCAGCATGTATTCAATGAATATATGATATAGAAATAATTAATGTGAGGTCAGGTTAAATCATTTTTACTTACTTTGCAGGTGGTAGTCAGATTGAGCAGTTTGCTTTCAATGTGACCAAGGTTTTCGGAGAATGAGGCATGAAAAACCATACATTCGATTCGTATGGCGTATTCAGGAATTAGAGAAAGCTCGTACAAAAATCTAAAAGCAAAGAAATTAATATTAGAAAAAACTCATAAAGAAATCTAAAAGCAAAAGAAATGAAAATGAGAGAAAGCTCATGCAAAAATCTAAAAGCAAAGAAATTAAAATGAGAGAAAGCTCATACGAAAATCTAAAAGCAAAGAAATTAAAATTTAGTTTGATTAGGTGCATCTAAATTATTTGGTAAATGGATAGATTTTAAAGACAGGGGGAGTTAAGGTGTTGCCGGGAGCAGCGGCGTACGCAAGGGAGGGGTTTAGGGGTAATCTGTTTTGTTTTGTCTTAACAAAAAGATCATTCAATCGCCGAACCCGTCGTCGCCAGTATTTCGACTAGTGAAGAAATCAGCAACAATACCAAAAATACTGTGCTCGTTGAAGTTATTCATTCCAGCTCGAAACTTTGAGATCGTAGCATAGCGGATATTTCTGTGCCAATGTATACATATATTTGCTGTTCTTGGATCTTTAGGATTTAACAACTTTTAACGCAAGAATTTAGCAATTTTTAATTATTTTGAGAAAAAAATTACGATCTCAAATTAGTGAGGTGACAGCATCTAGTACCAATGTAAGTTTTTCTGTTGTACAGAAATGTGATACTTCCGTTGAAGAAAACGTTTCTAGCATAACAAAATCTGATGAATGTGAAAGTGGCCCTCAAAGTGTTACTTTCCACCCATATGACATTAAACTTTTTTCAGAAAATATTACATTATGTTCTTAAACTTAAAAAATCAAATCAAAATTTAACTAAACAATGTTGTCGAAATAAAAAGTCAAAATTGTCTAGCTGTCTAAATTAGGGAAATTAGGGGCTGTCTAAATTAGGAATAGTGCTTTATAACTATAACAGATTCGAATTTCTTTTAGTAGTTTCAGAAAATTATGAACACCCCCCTTGAATAAATTCTGCATACGCCACTGGCCGGGAGAAACTTATGAAGAAACGGCACAGAGTTAATACTACAAAAAAATGTATGTAAATTAGAGAGCTAGCCACGGATGGTTAAATGACGTTAGTTCAAGTCCCAATGAAATTTCAAATTGGTTTGGATTAAGAAATCAGTTTGGGTGTACAGAAAAGGTTTAAAAATTTTTGGCAGAGAAAGAATTCAAGCCTGATGCACTATCATATTTCGGTACGATGTTCATAATTGGCCAACGATATCAAACTGATGAAAATGCATCCGTTGTAAGATACTCGATGAATATACGAGGAATTGATAGTCACAAGTGACAAATCTTTCACTAAGATTCGCGTAGGTGCAAAAATTGTTTCAATTTTGTACAGTGCTCGTTAACGACGAGGCCTGAGTATTTCAATCTATCCCAAAAGAGCCTAAAGCAGGTTTATTTCTGTAGTTTCATCATCGATGCCACAGGTTTCTACAGTGAAAAGTTTTTGGAACTTCAGTATTCAAAAAAGTATACAAAAGCTAGACGTTAAGAACGTATCCAATGAGCGAGCATTGGATTGCGAAAGCAGTTCCGGGGGTTGGCGAGCGCCAGCGAGTAGGGACGAAGCTTCCTAGTTTTGCTTAATTTATTAATTAGCTGAAGTAATTTTTAGCAATGGTATTTATGCAAAACGATTCCTTATATATATATATATATATAAAGAATAATTTTTATCTTAGGATAATTATTCTTAATTCAGAAATATCGCATTAATTTATACCAATAGATGTGTCTTGATAACGACTATTGGTTTTTTCCCATTTCTAGTTTTCTCTTTATATTATTTTATTATTTGTGTTTTTATATTTATATATGTGCCGACCGGTCTGTGTAGGGGGCAGGGAACTGTCCTTGCACCAGAAAGGTTCTGGGTTCGATTCTCGGGCAAGGCATGGATGTTTCTTTCACTCTGTGTTCTATGTCCTTTCTCCTTTGTGTGTGAATGTGACCCGCCCTATAAACGGGTTGTGGTAGTGTGACGTGGGCGACGCTGCTCCACCGCCGTGACTTCGCCACAGGTGCCTACTGGGTAACGAAAAGAGAGTTAGCAGTTCTGGCAGTTTCTGCGGCCAAAGGACAATAGTTCCAAGTGCCCGCCATTAAAAAATAAATAAATAAATATATATGTTGTTAGCGTTCGTTAAAGTCAAACAAATGTCACCATAAGAATATTTCCCTCTAAATCGCTTTTTCATATGTAGGATTGCTTATTTAATAGAACGGAAGAATTTTCGAGGCAGATTAGATAAATTGAATATTTTGTAAGATTTTTAAATTCTGTAGAACATAGATCAAAAACACTCTGTAAATAATAAGGTACAATTGGATAGCTATAATAAAATTGAAAACTTTTAAATTGCCCCCCCCCCACCTGAAGTTTTATGAACAAATATTCCATAGCAGAGCCAATTGAAGATAAACGGAAAAAAAACAAAGGGGAAAAAATTGGAATCGTCTATCCTAGCTTGCTTTTTCAACATGAGATTAAATTAATATTTACTGTTCAGGCTTATCCATAGGCACATCGGGTGAGGTTTTACGATGAGACGATATCAGCTGCAATTCTTCGGGTGTTGGACGCTGAAATTGAATTGATGTAATAATCAACAAAAACTACATAAATTTCCATTATAAATGCACTTGGCTCAAAGTAATTTTATCTATAGATAAATGAATTTTAATAAACTTGGTGTATATTTCAAGAAAAGATCTTTTAAAAAAAATTTATTTACAACCAAAGTAACTTGTAGTTTATTTAATGATAACGAGATAAGTATTTTCAATTTAGCAATTGTGTTTCCCTGACGTAGGGAATATATTTGGAGATAATGGTGAGTTTTTGCAGTTTTTATATTAGCGATGATTCGTTTGTACCTTTTAAAATATTCAAAACAATTAAATACTTTAAAATATGTAGTTCTATATAAAAATAATAAGAACGACTTTAGATTTATTTAATAGTAAATATTATTAAAGTGCTGATTCTATATTTTATATCCACAACTTTATATGTTCTCTTTTGTTGCCTGTAAAAATTATGATTCCAACTAAAACTAAACTCAGTGGCACGACAGCCCATAGAGGGCCAACGCCTACTGTGCCCATCTCAGTTTTCTTGACCTTGGGCTCTGGGGTGCAGGAGCAGATGTTTCGGTTTAGGTGGTCAGCCTAACGCGGAACCCCCAGTGTTTAGTTCCCAAGCATGTTTGGTGCTCATTTATCGACCCACTGAAGGGATCAAAGGCTGAGATGATTTCAACTAATTAAAAAAAAAAAAGAATTCCAACAAATTGAAAAATAAATATCTTAAGCTTTCAAGAACACCGTATGTTATAAATATCATATCGTCCTACAAATCAATCCAAACATTGATATAAGCCAATAATAAAACTTATTATAAACAAATTATATCAAAAAATTGCATAAAAATTCTGAAAACTTACTGCATCATAGACGGATTGTAGTGTATGGATATCCATAACAGATGTGTCAAAATTATACAAAGCTGAAATAAAGTAAAAAGAAAGTTAAGAAAGAAATAACGATTAATTTTAACGCGAGAAATTATTGAAATACGCGTAAATCCATAAATAATAAGGACTATAAGGCATAAAAATTTTCAATATTTCTATTTCTAAATTCTATTTCTATTTCAATATCTATTTTGATTAGGAAATAAATTCTGATTACACACACGTGATAAAAATGACGTATAACTCAAATTTGAAGAGTATATTTTATTTTAATAATTCTTCAGCTTTTGTTTCCTACATTTTTAAATTTTTCTAATTAAAAAGAAGGTATTTAAAACACAGTATAATTCAAAAATTATGAAGTTCGATTCTTCCAAAAGGATTCTAAATCCTAATTTCTTTATCATTTTAGACAATGGTATTTTCTTTTTCATATAGGATTCCCACTAAAGTTCCCACTCACGCTTTTAACTTTCGGAGTGGTATCTAGATATGATAAAAGGGCTATACGCTACACGATTATAACATTTACAGAGCCATCGGATTGAAAATTGTGCAGTTAGTATTCCGATAACAAAACCAGCGTGAGTGAATGAAGTTACCTCAAAGGGGTAAAGCATATTAAATTTAATGTGATTTAACACTCTGTAAACATTTAATCTAGCAAAAAAAAGCTGAAAACTGGTATTGATCGAGATTTTCGTTGTGAAGAAACATAACTGTCTCAGAAAAAACAAAATATTTGTACAAGTTACCTTTTTGTATCGATGCATAAAACTTAAAAGTTTGGGAACCAAGCAATAACTTATTTGTTTGTTTGTTGTTGTTGTCGTGTGTGTGTGCATACAGTGCTAGTGCAAAGATTAAGGCCTGTTTACACGGTCCAATTTCTTGAATCCGAGAAATTGGAGGGATTTCTCTGTCCAAGAAATTGGATGATTCGTTGACACTATCCAAGTTCTTGAATGTCGCTGATTCGTTGAAAGAAAAACTTGCGCATGCGCATTGTTCATATTCAAAATTTTAAAATAATACTTACATAAGTTTAAAATTACTAAATAAATTCAAATAAAATCATAATAACACAAGTAAACCGCAACAGATCAATTTATTTGGACTAAAATATATGAAAACAGACAAGAAGATGACATAATTTGCTGTATGATTGTTGACGTCACAAAACCTATGACGCTGATTGGTTAAGGGAGAAAAAACTTGGATGGAAAGTAGAACATGCTCTACTATCGTCCAAGAAGTTGGACCAAGTTCTTGGATGTTTGTTTACACGATCTAAGCTCAAAGCAAAACAAGTTTCCATCAATATCAATCAATCTCTGTCCAAGAAATTGGATCGTCTAAACAGGCCTTTAGAGTCCTCCAAAAGTCTTGATAACAAGATTTGCAAGTTCTGGAGCCCGATGGCTATGGAGAATTTCGATGGGAGGTGCTCCAAGTTGAAAGAGGGAGCCGATAATGGAATGACAGTGAAAAACATGGTCTGGAGTTAGTTGCAAATGAGGACAGTACTTGCAGATGGGATAGGATTGGTGCGTGAGATCTTCATGCCTTTGAAATGTACGTAGCCTAGCTATTGTAGAGGAGAGGTTTCTTGGGCAGTTTAGATCGGGGATTGTTGCCTTGCTAAAAAGCTGGTTGTATATCCTTCGCCTAGCGACTGTTTGTTTGTTTATTCCACAATTACATGCTTTTCGAACTGGGAGTCTACTCCGGGTAACGTGTAAATTAAGCACATAACTACCTTTCTGTGTTTAGGAAAATCTTTTTTTTTAACTATAGTTAATCCATTCGAAAAATCAGAAGAATAAGGATTTCAGTGAATATCCTATATATACGGTTCTAAAATTTATTTTTGAATTGTGACACGGACGTTAAATTCGATTATTCTTTTTTTCTTCTTCAAATAATGTCTTTATTTACTATGCAGCCCACTATTACATGCAATTTTCCAATTATAAAGCAAAGTCTATGACATGAAATAAATAATTGAGACACTGAATGATGATCGTAAAGAAAAAGTTCATATACTCGTAGGAACAACGTGTCATTATTATGTAATTTCACGAAGTTGTTTTTCTTTTAGAACATATGTATATGCTATTTCTTATGAACATGATGTTTAGGGAGTGGATTAATTGCATTTAATATTTCTCCTTTTGATTAAATAAATACAATGTAGTCAAACTATAAAGAAAACAAGTAAAGGATTACATACCACTTTGTATTTCATTAATATCCAAATGGCGACTTGATATTAGAATTCCAACATTTTGCGAACGCTTTTGATCCAATAATTTGGCAACCTAAAACATAGAAATCATCTATAAATATTTTTAATATTTAGTGTATAAAATAACTGTACCTTTCAATTGATGGGTCAACTTTTAATATCAGTAAAATCAACTTGTTTTATTTGATATTTTAGTCCATAGAGAGCTAATTGTTTGAACAAAATCTGCCGTCATAATGACGTTTCAACAATTAGGGGAAGTCAAACTCTTAAGCAACTTTTGTAGGTTCTTTTCAGTCTGATACTGTGCCGTTATTCTGTCCTTGCGTTGCCAGATATATAATTTATGATGGACCATGAAGAACTTTATTTAAAAAAAAAAACCAACTTGATAGTAAAATTTCGGAGAAAATTGCATTCTAATTTGAATTAAACTTATAGCCGAAAATTCAAAACCATTTCAGCCCTCTAACTCTCATATCACCCACTGTTCTAAAAAATTCACCTGATCACAAAAGCCAGTTTCCTTCTAGTTTCTTTAAGAATCGTTTTCAATTAGGACGAATGCTTATACAGATACTGTAACTGGAAGGTTTCATTGTCTGGTTGGAAAATTGATCTTTCAATTTACTAGTAGGGGAGTGTCAAGTATAGGGGGATGTCGGGTACCCTCGCCCGACAGCTGGATGCAGCTGGTAGCAAGGTAAACAATAGTTTTGAAAATATGTTGAATACAGCAGTCAAATTTTTTAACTTTCTATTTTTTTTTTTAAGTTAAACTATTCTTTTTTCGGTTTATTCTTTTTGCATTATTTAATTAGATGATAAAACAATAGAAACATACAAAGATATTGATTATTACTCAATATTATACAGAAATATAAGGAATATTCCTTAAGTGGGCGGGGCTACCCGACTCTTCCCTATATAAAATTCGTTTTAATTTATTTAACAAATATAAAGTATTCTCCAGAATTAGATTGTTTATGAACTTATACAGATACTATAATTGTAAGGTTTCATTGCCTGGCTAGAAAATTTATTTTTCAATTTACTAGTACATAAAATTCGTTCTAAATTGTTTAACAATTATAAAGTATTCTCCGGAATTAGATTGCTTATGGGAACTGACTTTTCTTTCTTACGGCTGTTTGCATTTACTTTAAATGGAAGGAATTGTTCATAAGTTGAAACTATTTAAGGAAATCTTACTTCTTTGGCTTTTGATTGCGTGGTTTTTTTCTCTTCACATGGACTTTTCTTTTTTGAAACCTGCTTAGAAAAAAGCTCTTCAAAATCTTCCCAATTTTCAAGTTTTGTTTCTTCTAGATTGTCCCAAAGGCACTCGCCGTCCCTTAAATAAGGAAAGATACATTTACTCAAAAACTTTTTAACTGAAATTAAAGAATATAAAAAGATAGAATTCTTCAAATGAAAGATATTCAAAAGGAGTTTATTAGTAAATATTAAAGGAAATAAATAAGATTTCTTTTGGTAGTAGTGCAATTAAATTATGTCCAACACATGGGGGGGGGGAGTGTGAATGCATGTGCACTAATCTCTTGCAAACTGCACTTGACGCGATCACTTCTAATCAATACTCGTAATCGATGAAAGATATTAAATCAGTTACTATTTATTAAAAACAAAAATACTTATTTTTTTTAAACTAAATAATGTCTTTAAGTTTAGAACAAAAACATACAAACTTCAATGAAAAAAAAACTAATTTTTGGTAATTAGTTAAGCTTTTTTTTTTAAAAAAATCAACCAGATAAATAGTTTTCGACTGATGCTTGATTAATCTACCGTTTTGAAAAATTTTGATTTGAGCAAATTAGCCTTTATTTTTTGATATTTTAAAGCCCACTCTTATTTCTTTTTTCAAATGGCAGTATTTTACCAATTTTTTGTAGTATCGATATAATATTCCGGAATCAAATTCTTAAATAGTTCTTCGCACTATTAAATTAAGCATTTAAAAAAAAATCGATATTTTACGCATATTTTTATCTGTAAAAGAAGCAATAGGATACTAGGAGGCGCACTCATCATAAAGAATAAGTATATAAAGTGATATTCGAAGAAATGAGTGAATGATGCAGGTAAGTGACATTTTAGTGAATTTTAGTAAATGAGCGTAGGCCAGGTGGCCGAGCGGTTATCGCGCCTGACTGTGAAGCCATTGGCTGCGGGTTCGAATCCCGCTCTGGGCATGGATGTTTCTCTCTCTCTGTGTGCTGCCCTCTGTTGTGTGTGAATGTGGCCCACCCTATAGACAGGTTTGTGGCAGTGTGGCGTGGGTAATGTTTCTCGCCTCCGTGACTTTGGTTCACAGGTGCTCACTGGGTAACGCTAAATGAGTAACAATTCCGGCATCTTCATAGGCAAAGATTCAAATTCAGTGCCTGCCATTGGAAAAAAAAGTAAATGAGCGTTAAAAATTATACAGCTCGTTTTTGCTACTTTGTTCAATCTTTATGTTTTAAAGTATATTTTTGAAGACAAAATTATGGGGGTCCCCTAAATTATCCCTTGCCGTCAAACTAACCGTAGGAAGTTTTTAGAGGTTTTTCTCTCCGTGTAACGCAAATGTGGGTTAGATAGACCTGAAAGTTTTCCACGAAGGAAAATTTCTATTAAAACTTGATCCAGGAGTTCCCTTGTTTTCTGAATTGGGCTCATAATTGCAAAGCTACGGAGTTGAATATTGGTAGTCGTAAACTCAAAATTTGGGTTTGCTGTGCAAAGACGGTTATAAAATATGACCTAACTATAATTAATTTTAAAATTAATGATCATAAATAAATTTATAATTAAATTTATTATTAATTTTTATAATTATACTTAGTAAGTTAGCTTGCAATACGGATGGATCGTTAGGGATTAACTCCTTAACAATCGATTAATTTTCAAGAAAACGGTCATAAACAAGTGTCTATTTTGCCAAATACACATATTTGATTAGTGCTAGTATCTAGTTTAAAATAAGCTAACGATTTACAATTAACTTAAAAATATCCTGGTACTGCCATCTGGTGTGTAAAATGAAAAATAAAATGTTTTCCGGGCAAAAGAAATGAATTAGTTTTATTCTTATTGGCGCATTACTACTGAACACTCCAGCCCGTCAATATCACGGGAGTGAGAAATAACGAGCGAAAACTCACCCCGTCATTTTCACGGGAGCGAGAAGGAAGGGGTTAAACTATTGAAAAATAGCTAAACTGAAAATGTATCGCAAAATATCGATGTTTTGTAACGATAAATCATGATATAAAAATTCTTATATCACCTATCATTTCTATGCAATCATACTTTGACAATTAAAAGAATGTATTAGTGGAATACTTACTTTTCGGCGGAAGCTGGTGTATAGATCTGAATTCTTGTCCAATATAAAGGCCTCATTGGCTTTTTCGGTACAATAGGCGGCTTACGGACTGAAAGGAATAAAATCTGTATTAAATATGTACACCACAGTGTAAAAGCTTAAGCTCGATGCAGAGAAATACAACTTAAAATTTAATTAATTTCAAATTATATATTTGGTAAAGTGAGATCATTATAACTCATCCTCTAATTCACCACACACATTATGTCGCATATTTTTGTAAACATTCGCAATTTTTTAGTAGAATATCAAGAGTCCATTTTGAGGACCTGATAAAAATTAATTTCAAATTATATATTGGCTTAAATGGATTTTTTTTAAAATCTTTCAGCAGCATACAACAGTTTAACCGCAATTTTTTAGTTTCCTGCTAGGTACTAGGCTACTACTATATTCCTACTAGGGAATCAAGAGTTCATTTAATGGAACAGCAGAAAGAAAAAAATCGAGCTGAAAAATTTCTTTGATAGCTCGATATAGAAAGTTGAAATCGATTTGTATTTTTTAAATGTTTTCATTTATTATGTTTGATATGCTGACGTATTTTAGTAAAATTGTGTTTGATAAATACACGCGTTTTTAATTAACACTATTTTTCCACTAAGGATTAGTAAAACTTCTAATCCATAACATGTTTGTAAAAACATTGTTTTAAACTTCATTCAAATTTTAAATTAATTGATTAATAATTATATGAATGTGATTAGGTAAGTAAAAAAAAAAATTTCTGCTCACGCACGTTTTTTAGCAATTAGTAAATCGTATATTATAACTTTAACGTGACAAAAGCTTATAACCATTTGCGCTTGCTTCGAAATGTTAATAAGAAATTTCTCTATAACTGTTATAAATTATTGGAGAATAACATATCCAAAATAGCATAAAGCCGCCTGAGGTGCTAGAGGGAGAAAAGGTATGATTACTTAGAGAAAGTGCACGTTTGTGTTTTATTTCGCATCTTGAATGATTTATCATATTTTTGGCCACCCCTTCAAATCACTATCATTGAGACCAATTATATGAAAATCCAATCATTAGATCGAAAGTAATTCAGGGGATTCGTGTTTTTTTGCCCACTGTTCGTGAAAAATTTTACTGAATAGGAAATATTGAAGAGCATCATTAAAATACTCACCGATATGTGGTTGAGGAGCCGGCGGTAGCATTCCAAATGGAAAAGGAGGCGGTGGAGGTGGCATACCAACGCCTGGCATCGGTGGAGGTGGGGGTGGCATGCCGCTCCCTGGCATAGGGGGTGGTGGTGGAATGCCGCTCCCTGGCATAGGAGGTGGTGGTGGAATGCCGAATCCTGGCATGGGAGGTGGTGGTGGAATGCCGAATCCTGGCATGGGAGGAGGTGGAGGAATGCCACTTCCTGGCATAGGAGGTGGTGGAGGAATGCCGCTTCCTGGCATAGGAGGAGGTGGTGGAATGCTACTTCCTGGCATGGGAGGAGGTGGAGGAATGCCGCTTCCTGGCATGGGAGGAGGTGGTGGAATGCTACTTCCTGGCATGGGAGGAGGTGGTGGAATGCTACTTCCTGGCATGGGAGGTGGTGGAGGAATGCCGCTTCCTGGCATAGGAGGAGGTGGTGGAATGAAACTATTAGATGATGTCAATAATGATGAAGCTAACTGAACTTTGCACTTTTCGGGTTCGGTTATAGTTAAGTTCAGAGTTTGAGGAACGGATTTAGTTGAATTAATGATACAGCTCATATTTTGATGTTCTTGAACGGAAGAGAACAGAGTGATTGGATCAGTTTGTGTAAAAGCAATTGTTGTAGAGATTTTTGAGCACCTTTCACACAGTCCAAAGTTAGAGGACTGTTCAAACTTTGATTCATTTTCTTCAGGAAGATGAGTGGATGAGCTGAGTGAGAAGGATGAAATACTTTCTGAGGGTCTGTAAAAATAGGGTTGTCGATCAGATGATGATAGTGATGGAAGAAGTTCGGATACGTCAGATAGAGTGCGCGGTAGTCCTCTAATAACGTCTGGACCGGTATCTTCTGTCTGAACTCGAACTGAGCTTCGGGAGAGGGGTGAACCTTCGTCAGTCTGAACACTCCTGCTCCAGGAACGGATGGTTTCTGTTTGACAGTAGCGGGAGCGAGTTAGAAGAGTTGCACAAGATGCGATGTCATACTGACTGGATGAGGACATCCTTGGCCTCGGAGGCTCTGTCTGTGTAGCTGCACAAGGAGATGTTGGACACGAAACATATTTTGCTTTTCTTGTAAGCTCTTCAATTTCCGTTAATGTTTGGTACTTTTCCAGCTGCAGTTCTAACCTGAGTACAGAGAGAAATAAAAGAAAGTTACAATTATTCATTATATAAATCTGCATGTAAACGATGAAGGGATGCATTTCCAAATGTTTAAATTGTAAGAGAAGCAAATTTGGAAGATCGTGAATAAGTTTTTAAGACTCTTCATAACTGCTTGTTTATTCCATCCCATTGTTTATTCCGATAATATCCCATCCTCGCCCAGTAATTGAAAATGCATTCTAATTTAATTTAGACACCCTCTACTGGTTAAACCACTTTCCTGTCGTGTTCGTTTTCTTCTGGAATTTCGTGTTTAGACAGTAAGAAAGGCTCTCCTCCATAAAACTGAAACTATAGTGGGGGTGAGGGAAGCTAGTTACGGACATGGGGTTATAGAGGTTATTTTAAATAACTTTTCTATTTATCGGTCAAATTTTCTCTGAGATATCGGAGATTGACAACACTGGTGTACACTACCATGTGCAATTGCATAATTAACACTATAAATACTTTAGAAGAAATTTGCGAAAGAAGGTTTTTAAGAAGAAAAAGTAACTTTTCTCTTTCACTAGCATATTTTATTTTCGGAATTTCAACGGAAGATGATAATATGTAATAAATGATAATGTTTTTTTTAAAATCTAATTTGATATTAGCTTTTGCTCTGTATAATCAGCATTAGGCATAAGAAAACATGTCTTCGTAGAGCTAGTGTTGATGAGTTGTAGATTAGTTTTATGTGGACACGCTTTAGGTGGAATTTTTCATTTATGAGTAAGTAACGTTGATTTTTTTTTATCAGATCGATATAAATAAATTAAAACTTCTTGACAAAATTGATTCAATAAGAATTATCAACTTTGTGCTAATTAAGATAAATAAGATGCTTGTAAGCTAGTATGATGTATGTAAAGTGGAAGTTGCTTATAGGTTGGAAGAATGTGATATTTAATTAAAACAAATGGACATAGTTCTCCTAAACANTTTTTTTTTTTTTTTTGGAAAAAAAATATATTTTTCAAATCTAAAGAGAAGAAATAGTTGTCTAACTTCTTTATTTATTTTGTAATGGTTTTGTATTTCCATAGCTATTGTAAGTGCATTTTAAAAGTACAAATTTTAATAAAATGCATTGGGATAAAATAAGCATTACCTAGCGGCTCTTTCTTCAAACTCTTGAATACTGCGAGAAGATTTGAAGTGGAAGACTGACTGCTTTTCATGCTCCTTCTAAAATAATGCATTTTCTTTAATCAAGTGTATTTCATTAGATCATAATTGCTTTACAGGGAATACGTAATTTCATTAAATTAGTCTCGCATATACTCAAAAATTCATTAAGTGCTTAAATTTTTGAAATTGCCGTTTTAAACAAATTTTTTAAAAATCATAATATTAAGTAATAAAATCATTTTTAATTAAACCAAAATTTCTTAATAACAATTCATTTTGGTTATAATTTAATTTCTCCTTCTATAAATTACATTTATGAGAAAAGTAATTTAAATTTCGTCTTTTTTAAGGGTTTTACTAAACTTTATATTTGGAAGATCAATTTTTACTATGTGTACTTAATAGTTTCCCATTCATTTAAAGTTTCAGCTGCCTTTAGGTCAGGTCTAGCTATAGGTTTAATTTTAATTACAAAATATTAAATATATTGATACAAATCCATCTGTTCTTAACTTTTTAAAAAAAATTTTTTTAACTCGAATATTATGCACCTGCAAAGTAAATAAAATACAAGAACCGTAGTTTAGCATTATGTGGCACTGTAGACAGTTTTAAAGACTACAACTTACAATACATAGAAGTCAGTCTTAATAGTGTTGTATAGGTTAAAGAATGAATGGTTGTAAAGAGTTTCAATTCGATATTTCTCAAAAGACGATGATTAAAAAATATTTTAGAAAGTGCTTCCAGAAAAAAAATATTCACTCGCGAATTAAATGAGATGCCCAGCATGAAAAGAGAGGTAGCTATAAATTTTCGATACAGATGCATTCTTCGTAGTTGCCATAATATTTGTTTCATTGAGAAATTGAAGATAGAATGTAGAAAAAGAAGGGCAAATTCGTCAAAGAGCTCTTGATGAATATATTCATAGAGAGAAAAGCCCATAACGTGTTTAAAATTTGATGCAATTGATTTTTCAGCCAAAAATTGCGAAATTATGAATAGGAACTCAAGATCAAGAACTTTTCTCAGACCTAATTGGCATTGATTTCTAGTATGTTGGCTACGGTGGCTTATTAAACATATTTAAATTTGGACAGCAATGGTGTTTGAAGAATTCTTACCACGCAGATATTATTATGAGAGCGAATTACTCAGCCGCGTTTGCGCTTTACCAAACTTAATTTTTTAAAAAAATATGTTAGAAGAGCTACTTACTTTCAATCTATGATCATGCAATTCAGAGACGCTTTCTCTCAGTTCCCTCTCGGAGAGGCTGGGTGGCCAAGCTGTCGGTGAAAGTCTACCAGGAGTTGCGTACGCAGATGGAACGTTAGAGTGATCTAACTTGGTCCACTGGTACATTTCATCCGGCTGTATGAAAAGAAAAGAAATAACTAAGTACAGTTTTGCTTCCACCTTAAAAAAAGATAATATTTTCGACTGTACAGAGTGGCTAACTTTTGTGTTAGTAACTTTTGTAATAATGTTAACATTGGCAGTTGAAAGTTTGAAGCTTTTATATCTGAACTTTTATTTTTGTTCTCAGGAGCTTATACATGGTTGAATAGGGTAGGAGAGAGTGGGGTCAATTGTAACAGGGTACGACTGTAACAGAGCAAAAATTTCGAGTGTCGGGTTCTAGATTTGGTTCCTAGGTGGCGCACAAGGTGTATTTAATAAATCTACATGTANGGAGTTGCATACGCAGATGGAACGTTAGAGTGATCTAACTTGGTCCACTGGTACATTTCATCTGGCTGTATGAAAAGAAATAACTAAGTACAGTTTTGTTTGCACCCTTAAAAAAACATAATATTTTCGAGTGTACTGAGTGGCTAACTTTTGTGATATTAACTCGATAAGACTGAGATAAGCATTAGCAGTTAAAGTTTGAAGCTTTTATATTTGGACTTTTATATTTGTTCTCAGGAGCATACATGGTTGAATAGGGTAGAGTAATCTAATTTTTGCAACTTTATCTAGATAGAATAGAGATAAAAATTAATAGTTTTTTACGTTAAAAGTCTGTAGATTTTTTGTTTGGATTATTATTTTCAAGAGTATATAATAATGGTGTTTTTGTGAGGATAACTTAATTTTGTAAGTTTGTTGAGCTCCCATTTTCACCCTCAACACTGAAAGTCAACTGGGTTTTTCTTGCCTATATTTCAAATGAAAGGTTAGGTAAGTAACAAATAGCAGATATTCAAATGGCTATAGAGAACTATGAAAATAATCAGGACTGTTGGCAAGAATGGCTTTCAACTAACTGATGCCTGAACAGTGTGAAATTAATCAATTTTTAAAGTGACTGAGAGCAAGCAATTTAACTACTTCGATCCGTGGAACACAAATACCGTGGAACGATAGTTAACTAGTTTTTAATATTATTTCGATTTGTTTTGCATAGAATAACCATTGGAAGGATATAATTGCTGAATTTTTATGCCTCAATTTCCATGTCGCTATTTTCTTAGGCAATGTTGCCCCATGATCCATAGTATAACTGGGACTACTGTCAAAGAGCGTCGAAACTATTATACGTGGTACGGAATCTAGATCAGAGGAAGATGCTGGAACATTTCTATTCATTACTCAACCAGTTAGGATGAAAAAAGGAAATTAAGAAAAATTGATGAAAGACCCTTGTATTCGCAAATATGAGATGTCGGGAAGATTTATTGGGTAAAAAAAATTTTGAAGCATTTCCGGGTAACCATTTGTAAAATTCGAAATGAGGAATTCGAAAGTTTTTAGACTTGCAGTCAAATTTTCCTTTCAGAGAACCAACTTAGTATTTTTCTTTTCCTGAAAAAATGGCTGATTCTACCATTTTATGGATAGATTTGTTTTAAAAAACTTCATCGTCAAAGAAACAACAAATTTTGAAGAAGATTTTTCAGACTACTTGAGTTACGTAACGTACAGGTTCTTTATTTTCATTTTTTCTGCTAATGATTATATGTCAAAACTTTATAACGAGAAACCAACAATTTAACGTGTGTTACTATAAACATAACTGGCAGCACAGAAAACAATACTGAATATATTTTTTCATCTGTCCTTAACTTTATACTTGTTCACTTTCCACTAACAAGGATAACATTTTCAAAACATTGACTTTAGAAATAGCTTTTAATAGAAAGCATCTAGTGAGCAAAATTACCCAGGTTGTCGGAACAACGATGATTTTTCATTTTTGATGAAATAGAAAGCATTGAAAATATATTTAAACACTAGAAATTGATTCTAAGTCATTAAGTTTATTTGTACAAAATTATCTGCCTTAAATTTTTCTTCCTTTCTTTCTCTTTCCCTTACAAAATTCTAATTAAGTCCTTTTGATGAATTTTCCTTGCTCCAATTCGAATTGTTTCGAGAAGTTTCGAATTGTTTTAATAAAAAAAAAATTGATTGAAGTAACCCCAGTTGGAGGTACAGATTTTTATGGGATCTTTGATTCTCCAATTAAATTTTGTAAATATATATATATATATAACGTCGTTGCCGAGTGGAAGGATTAAAACAGGTCTTAGGCCGGGAAGGAGGGTACAAAATTTATTTATTAATTATAAGACAGATCAGTCATGAGAATGTGTAAAAGTGAACATGAAAAGTTGCGCTTCTTGGTTATATGTTAGGCAAAATCTTGCAAAGTAAAAACGGTAAAATGTTTCAATTTAGGGAAGGAGGGAAATCTCAGAAATTACTATTGGTTTCTGAACTTGCTCGAGCGATTCCCACGAAGCTTAAAGGGAAAAAATGTCTTTAAGTAAATTTATGCATACTTGTGCCAAAAATAGATTTAGAAACAGGATGCAGCTTTTAAAAGTGTGAGAAAGCAGTTCGAGTTGAATAAATAATTAGCAATAAATTAGGAGTTGTTTTATAACAAAGAAACTAACATAAAAAAAATTAATAGAAGCTTTTTTATGCTTAAAATTCTGCAAATATATATATATATATA